TATCACATCACTATCACCCGAGGTCAATCGGAAAAAAAATTCATATTTTATATGAAGCTCGACTGCTCCCGCAGTCTATTTAGAATGACCCAGAGAGGACCACGAGGAGGTTAACCGGATATCACACCCTTATTTTTACATTTCAACTATAAAAGTCGATCTCTGGACCTATTTATACCTATCACTTTATCTTAAACAGATACCTACCTATACTGCGGACGAGGACGCACTCGGCTATATTCAATATAATATCATGATATTTGTCGATAACACTGCGGACGCACTCGGGCTACGAAAAAGGTAACGATTCGAAACGGGACTCGCTCGGTATATTATCCTATACAATATATCCAACCCAAAATTCTCGAGTGTCTTGCTTTTCAGTTGTACGCAGGTTGTTCCTTGTACATAACGCCATAACGGTATAACAAGCGGTGTCTAGTTAAAGGGGTTTTTGTATACACACAAACCTCAGAGGGTGCGCCGGTGCGGGTTTTAATTGAAGGTTTTCCGGTGTAAACCTGCACTCGGCCCTCACTTTATATTATACGCGGGCACACACGCGCACACACACGCCACACACAAACGTCGTTTATAGGCAGTCAATTTCTCACCTCATTCGGCGGCGGTATCCTCTCGTACGCTTATGTATATTATTATTATTGTATATATAGATACACGTCTTGTAACAATACGCACATGTCCTATTCTGGTGGCGGCTGCGGCGGCTGCGGCGGCAGTGGATTACGACGATTGCGAAGCGGCATTTTTATTTTACGATCCGTATAGCTTTACAATCGGGGCCGGTTGACGAAGTCATAAAAGATGTCACAATAATGAGGGTGCCCGTCGAACGGGATTTACGACCCGGACACTCGTAAACCGTCGTATTGCAACAATAACAACATTTTTCAATGAAACCCATCGACTCGAGTCTCGAATATTACGATGGCGATGACGACGACGACGACGACGACGACGACGACGATGATGACGTGTTATTCAGAGATCGGTGGCGGCGTACAGCATTTTAATACGTTATAAGGCACACGTTACAATAATAATAATAATAGTAATAATAATAATAATAATATAATTGTTATATTATTAAGTGTGCAGGTATTATAGCGCACAGTCGGTCTCGGCTTCTCGGGTCAAATGCGTTTCGTATAATATGCGCACACCAATATACGACGAGCGTACAAACATAGGTACCTATTATATTTGCGCATAATATAAAATATTAACGATTTAGTGGCCCACTATTTAGTATATCGAGTTTTATTGATCCATTAAATGAATCAATCGTTCATGGAACCGGGCACACTAGTGTGCTAGTTTCATTATTACCATTTTATTGCGTCGACATCGTCTCGTACACAAATTGCAAACGCCGTACCCTATTTGCTCGGACCGCGTACAGCTATTCGTGAGTTTTAATTTCTTATTTTTGATTCGTTGTTATCATTATACACCACGTGCATATCCACAAGTCGTAACGAACGCGAGCTGGTACCTCTATATTATGATATATAAATATATCATTGTAATACAGTGTCCGTCAAATATAAGTACAGTACGTCCGTATAACCTGTATTCATCGTTATAAGCCGTCTCTGTATTAATATTACTGTATCGTCCGAATTACCGGTATATTATTTTGTCTTAAGGGCTTTCCTATAACAACGGAACACGTACGCTGCTCAGTCCTCACGTGATAGGTACACCTATAGTTTCCATGCTGCTGTCGGGAGGTTGAACTCGCAAGTCCTTCGCTGCAGGTTGATCGTCTATCCTAAGTGATTATTGCGTACTTATTCGTCTGCCCATCTCTTCTTATCGCACAATTCACTTGATACAGAACAGTAGTGTACTACGTAAACTTACTATATTTATTTAAAAAAAAGTTAATAGAGTTCGTTATAGATCATTAACTATACACCATAATATAGCATAATGTACCTATGTGATTTTATTTTTTAAGTTGACAACGTGCATTGCAATACGATATAACATTAATTAATTTACCTATAAACCTATATTCATACTTATTCGCTCAAACGGTCTACGCTCTCGGTGATCCAGCTGATATATTTTATAGTATAATATGCATAATCAAAGCTCAATAATGAGCTGTACCCAAATAGTGTAAGCGAATATTATACACCTATACTATATCATTAGAAATATAGTAATAAAATCGTTTTGATTGTATAACGCGACCCATATAGACGCCTTCCCAAATATCACACAATCGCACTCGTATAGAAGACGATGAACACAATTAAAAAGTGATAAGTTGAATTTACTGACGACCGAGCGCAGTAAATAAAAATATGAAGCCGATATACCTATACTTATAAGTAAAATATGTTAAATTTAATTTTTGAACTCATTATAATATTTTGGAATAAAAATAAGTTTAGCCCGTTTGAATTTGTTTTGTCAATACATTATTTCGTCTCAATATATTGTTATTGCACATTAAGAGTATAATATATTATGTGCCTAATATCTAGTAATTTTAATGATACCTAGTTATTTACATTTGAAACTACATATACAGTGTGCTTCTCCTTGAACGTACCTAGCACCGCGGTTATCCACTAGTGGATAACCACGCGGTACCAGCTAGTATACCTATTATACCTATAATATAATATTATACATGATTTCGCTCAATTGCGTTGTTTATAAGTCGTTTTTTCTCCTCCGTCTCGCGGGCTTATAATATTATGATCGTCGTACAATTGTTACGTACACCATTCAGGTAGGTATTATCTTAATTGGGACGCGTTAGGCCACGGCAGACGGTATAATTGGATGACAAATCGGTCGGCGTTTTTTAAACGAAAACACAAACGGACGGATTATAAACCGACCGGACGATACATATTATACGTATTATATTTATACATGTACACACCGTTGAATATTATAATGTTATGCGATGCTCTATGTGCGGGCCGCGTGTTTGCGCGCGACCAGACAACGGGATCGGGTTACTCTCATTTATAATAGAAACGAAGGGAAACGAATATTATTAAAAAATAAATGGAACTCCGCGCGAGTAGTTGACAATATTTTAAAGGTCATCGTTGCGGTTAACATTTCAAACGGTTTTTCGGCACTTGATTTATTTGGTCGCTCGGTCGCAAGCGCGATATAATATATTATTCACATCGGAGCTTTTGTCATATTATTATTATTATTATTATTATTATTATTATTATAAAACGGACTTCGGTGTCTTATTATTCAACATATTAATATTATTGTACAAGTGATCGTCATAACTCGTAATACTTTAGAAGTTACGTGTTTGTTTTTGCCGACGACGCAGTGTACCGAAAATAAGATCTACTCATTGATAATACGTATGAAAACATTAATATTATATTGTGTGTGGAATAATTATAATATTATGTCTCACCGACGACATTGTTATTTATTTCTATTGAAGCGTCTGTAAAAACGCCAAGTCGTAAAATTACAATTATTAATACTCATACATTTTAAGAGGGTTATATATTAATAAATTACCTTACAAATTATCGTTAATTTATGTATAACATCTGTGCACTAATATTATGCATTATTGGTATTACTAGATTTTACCTTATATGCTGACTACTATATGCACTTGGTTTGATTGGATTGAAACATTGAGTAGAGAATGGAGATTCAAATTACCAGCCTTGATTTTGAGCATATACCTTATGTAGTTATATAATCGTAATTATTATTTAAATGATTTGAACCTATTTTTAACTTTGTAACGGTGTTCAGTTTTAATTTTTCATTAGTGACTCAGGAATGTGTTTGATCGATTGATATTATTCGCAAATTAACAAGTGTTTAATGTACATCCATATATAAATTATTAATTATGTGGTTTGTATAGGTGTATATTATTAAAGCGTAGGTAGTGTATTAATTTATCTACTATGGCTTTGACAGTTATAGTCAATTGTGTATCAATATATATTATTTATAATAATTAATAACATGATATTTCATTGTTTATGCATCTGTATAGCCTACGTAAAATAGTGACAAGCAATCGAGTGAAATCGGTTGAAAATAATTTGATTTTTATTAAAAATAGTAATCCTACATATAATTATTTCAATTGTTATTGTTTTTGATAAATAATTCATTTATACATTGTCCGTTTATTATACATATACTAAAGGAACCCAGCTTTATATAAAAATTCAAATTAAGTATACGCTATTACACGCTAGTTGTCAGACAACGATAATGAATAATGATAATTTTAATCAAAAATTACATATTTAGTATTTATTAATTCATTTTTTAGACCAATTGTTAATTTACTATGCAGTGTTGGGTGCGTATTATTACAAAAAAAAAAAAAATTAAAATAATTAACATGTTAAACACAATAAATAGTAAATATACAAAGATATACAAATATGATCCATTACCTACATATTTTTACGAATTATAGTGATGTGTGTTAAAATTAATAATTAATAATTTGCAGATATTTTGTTCAATACTAATTAATGTGTATTAATATAAGGAAATAAAAATGAAATAAAATAAAGTAATGTCATTTATTTGGGTTTGATATTTTATATGAAACGAAGATTGCGTTCAGTCTTCAGTGACGTCAACAACATAATGGATCGTGATTTATTTAATATTGCAAGTGCAGTAGAATTTAGATGTATTAAAAAAGCGGTCAGAAGCAGGGAAATATAAACAAAAATTGTTGATTCTGATGCAAAAATTAAAAGATAAATATGACCATGCGGATGAAACAAAACTCGGAGAAACAAGAAAATAAAAGAACTCCTGCAACTAGAAAACGAATACATACAATGTATTTATAATGTATATTCTTACGTTAAATAAGTATAAAAAACAGTTGCAAGAATGGAACTTTTGAAAAGCGAAGGCATGTGCATACAACAAATAGCTTTTAAATTAGGAACAGGAATCTCAAAATGTAGTTGTTAATGAAAACTGTCTTAAATGTTTTTTTGCCCACAAGAGCAGTTGTTTTTTTGTTTAGTATGTTCACAATTCTTTTTCGACAATGAGACATTTTCTTTTTTTAAGTTCCATTCTTGCAACTGTTTTTTCTGCTTATTGATCTTAGAAACATAGTAATCGTTGTCTCTTTGGAGATCTTTTATTTTTTTGTTCCTGCGAGTTAACTCATCATCCACTGAATGCATCTGAATTGACAATTGTTGTTTACATTTCTCTGCCTCTGACAGTTTTTTTATCATATCTACCGTATTCTCAATATTAAATATATCGCAGTTAATTGTATTTTTTACGTCACTGAACGCAATCTTCATTTCATATAATTTCTCGCATACCGTGTTAAATTTAGCAGAAAGTCTATCCTGCTCAAGTTTCGAGTTTGTTTCGACTTGTTTCATTGAATCTAGGAGTTCAGTTTTTGTATATTTAGAGTTGATCCCCGCAAGTTGACTATTCACATCAGTAATTTGCTTTCGTAAATTACAATTTTCCTCTTCCATAGATTTCAAATTTGTATTTAGTTTTTTAACTAAGTCATTTTTTTCTTCTATTTCAGCCTAAAGAACAGTTGAGAAATGACAATTTAATAGCTTTGTACGTATACTACAGCCTACGGATGTATATCATCTATTCTACGATTTGCAATATTTATTAAGTTATTTGATTACAATAAATCATTGAAGCAATGTGTCCAGAAAATAAGACATTTATAGAAATTTAAAATATACTTACAGCGTATTACTATTGTTATCTGTTTATATTCATTAAGTAGAAAAATAGAAAGAAAAATATACTAAAATATAATATATATACGATATAATATTAAAAAGGTATCTATTTACTTACTTTATAGCTGCACAACTCTGCATGGGCACATTCTTTAAGTTCTTTCATTTCTTTTAATTTGGTTTTAAGTATGTTTTCGTTCAGTTTTAAAGAGTTATACCGAGTAATGATTTCATTAGTTAATTCACATTGTTCGTTGTACTTATTTTCCCAATCGCATATCTATTTAAATAAACACTAAGCATTAACTAGGATTTAGTTTTACCAGACTACTAGCTTACATATTGGTCTGATTCTGAACACATTATTAATATATTTATACTTTTTTATTAATTATAAAATAAATACAAAATTACAAATAATCCTTTTCTGTTTATAGCAACAACTGTATGTTATAGAATTGTTTATTTGGTAAGAATTGTAAATTCAATTTATTGTACACTAACATATACAGGGTGATTCACCAAGCTGCTCACCTCCGTTTTTTTTTTAAATAATAAATTTACGAGTATTCAAATGATACTTGGAATTTTTAAATGTACTCGAAAATCATATTCAAATTATTTGTTTGTAATACTTTAGGAGAGTTCAGTGCATAGGTACAACTAAGGTTAAAATTCTGGGGGAGGGGGACCGAAAGTATAGTGACCCAATGGTGCTTTTCCGTGATCCCGGCTACCATTGGTCTCAGCTAGAATACAAAATCTTAGATAAGGTGATTTAAATCAATAATTGATTTTAATATTTTATCATAAAAAATATAATAAGTGACATATATACGATCCGTGAGGCATTACAGTATTTGTTTGTATCTTAGTTCAATATAATATATTAATATGTTTATTATTGAATTCTAATTTCTAATATTTTATCCAATAGCGTTTGTAAATTAGTAACTATATTGACTATTGTGAATTTAAATAAACTAAAATGTCAAATGTCAAATTGTCAAACTCAAAACCAGATAGCGCTCCAAGTACACACCTAATCAACACGAATCCCGCATAAGTACTTTATAGCGTTATGGATTACTTATGTATTCGCACTAGTTGATAATCTCATTTTTCAATTATTATATTTTAATCCCGTAGGACTATCTGAATTTTTTATTACACTATTTATTAGACGTTTCTGTCGATTAATGATTACAGTTAGGTAAACATGCATGCCATGTATTCGCACTAGTTGATAATCTCATTTTTCAATTATTATATTTTAATCCCGTAGGACTATCTGAATTTTTTATTACACTATTTATTAGACGTTTCTGTCGATTAATGATTACAGTTAGGTAAACATGCATGCCGTATTTATATTCACCTAGGCTACCTAGCTGTTTAACTTCTAATTAATTATTTATAATAATGAATATTTCAAATTGAAATCTTAGAATTACGTCATTATATTATATTATATATATTTTGTTTCCATTCTAGCAGTAAACTAACTTACCTAATTACCTCAATTTATTTATTTATTTTTGTTGATCAAATAATAAATTTCAATTGAATCTGTTCAACAATAAAACAATATAATTTATTTAACGATTTATCATATATTTTCTTCTTTGTGCTAGCAATTGTGGGTTGAAAATGGATAAAGTCAATAGAGAGTTCTAAATAATAATAACAATTTAATATATTGATTATATTTGATATTTGATTAGTCTCTTAAGTCTTAACTAATTTTTCTACAGACTGCAACTGTTTACCTACACCAAAATTGCGATTTTGCAAATCTTATAATATAAATTTCATAGATGTAAGTTATAGTTATTAATAAGTATTATTAGCTAACAAAAGAATTATGCTTCTTCGGTATAAAACACTGCATATGAGGATAGTTCATATCAAATATTTGGTTTACACTATATTAAAAAATTACACTCTTTATTTTTCGAAAAAATAATCAAAAGCAATTATAATTTAAATAATTTAAAAACATAATTTTTAAATAAATTTGAAAATGAATATGTTACGGTCATCAATAACCGGTTATGTAAACAAAGATTTCTGAAATTTATAGTTGATGGGGCAAAAAAAATGTAACCATGTATTCGTGTAGGTATGTTCATTTACACGCAATAATAATTAAACATGGTCGAATGTTTAATATATAATTTTCGTTGTTGGAGAGAACAACCACGTATACAAAAATTGTAATAATTTAAATTGAGCATATATTTTTCACAAGCTCTAAAAAACAAGAATGTTGCAGAAGACAATGAGATGAATAACAAGAATGAGTTTATAGGTACTTATATTTTAAAATGCCAAATTACAGATAAATGTGAAGTGTAAAAAGATAAACAAAACTTGTTCATATAAATGCATATTATTTTTATTATAATTATGAATTTATTAGGGAATGCTTCTTGGTGTACACAGGAGGAAACATGAATAGAAATCAATTAACTCGGATAACTTGCATTAAGCGATAATAAAAAAAAAATTATTAATCGTTAATTTATCGCATACCTAATTACTTTTAAGTTACAAATAACTATATATAGATAGTAGATACAAGATATCATAACTAACTTGAAATCAATATAAATCAATACGCACCCGTTCTAAACTTGAGTTATAAAGATTCAAATGTTATCAAGTAGAATCTGTTTTCAAAATAGTAATGTTTACTTAATATATATATATATATATATAGCTATGATATAATAATAGAATAAAAAAAAAATGTTTATATTTAAAATATAGTAATGTGAAATATGTAATTTATTAAAAAGTGGAAACATCAATGCTGAATGCACTGAGTAAACACACTCTATGTATAGAATATGTTCATATTATTATAGATATTATCTAAACACGGATATAACATACAGTCAAAAATATCGAAGTCAGAGTAAGGAACCCATTCGAAAAGTTTCATGAAAACAAGTCAGCAGCTGTGGCGTCGCGGTAGATAATACATATACTTTTACGATAAAAATCAATTTATGTAGATCATATGCGTTGAATATTAATAATGCATGAACACAATGCGGACGTTTTAAACGATTACCACCTACCTAAATATACATTTGTCTTCCTTATTTTTTTTCTTCCGTTTTCGTAATAATACTTTACATCGGGTATATTATAATATACACTCATACACTATACCTAATATTATGATATGAGTACGAACGGTCGTTGTCGAGTTTTCGGCGTGTAGGTATTATTGTCATTATATTATTACACCAATCATTCACGCTGTTCGAGTTAGTTAGTTAGTGCGTACGCCTAATATCGTTATTGCGTTCCGTTTTAAATAAAATAAATACGCGTGTAGCTCTGTACCGCACCTATATACATACGACAATATGTAAAATATATTCGGGTTTATAATTTTTGGGAAAATGTAAAATACACTGCAGTCGCGGTGTCCACAGTGTGTCCGGACATCGATGAACGGCGCGGCGAGTCGCCCGTGCCGATATCGTTAATAATAATTTGAAAATAACATTTCCGCTTGCTGTTGTAGACGACTGCTTTTTATATAGGCGTAAGTACGCACAACGCCACATGCGTTCATGCCCGACAAGGTTTTCTCAGTGATGTGTCGAGTCCCCGACCGTTTTCGACTGCTCAGAGTGTACAGGTACTAATGGTACTACTATTGTTCAATAATACACCGCGACGACGCAAGTTGGTCAGTCATATACACTCCAATACGTAACACGGTCCTTGAATTTCGTTTTTAATAAAATCTAATATTTCTAAAACGCGCGTGTACCTATCTATAATATGCGTATACCGCATGATGTGTGTAATATTGTATGTCGCGCGTGTACGCTTTTTGGGGTGGTAGGTAATATTATTCACGGCCGAAGTGTCGGTCCCAACGGTGTTGTTCGGAGAGCCATGCCGGTGCCGCGGAGACCGTTAATTTGAAAAAAAAAAAAACGTTTCCATAATGTTATCAGGTACCTATATATTACTCAGGGACACCCGCAGCAATGTAGCTCAGGGGGGGGGGAGGCAAAAAATTGCAAGTACCTAAATACTTATGGGAAGATTTACCGCTACACTTTCATCTACTCATACTTAGTAATATAGTATCGTTTATAATTTTTTAAAAATCAAAACTAATTTAAGTAAATATAAAATTACAGTAATTACACTATTATTATTTCTAATATTTCTAAGAAAAAACATAATACAATTTAAACAAACAACAACTTTATTTGATTTGATTTGAATTTACATACCTACTACATCATTACATATTAGTATATTACATCATATTTATACATCATAATAATGCATTTTATTCAAAAAGTAATGACAATCTCCTTTTATTAGAAGCAAATAAATTAACTGAATTATAAATTTGTTGATTAAAAAATGTTTTATCGTCATACCTTTGGCGGTGTATAACTAACGGTGCCTAACCTAACCTAACCTACGATAAATGTAATGATAATAATGTCTGTCAAAAGGTTTCTATTTCCGTCGACGACGGGCTGCAGGCTGCTTTTATATATGAATTGTTAGATACGAGGATTGTAGCGTGGTCGCTTAATACCTAAGACCAGCTTTATGTAAAAAAACTTTTAATTTTGTAATACTGACACAAAAAATCATCTCCCCCTTCCGGGCGTCCCTGATATTATTACTCGTAGTTAACTTCTATGCTGGGACCCACGCACACCACGAGCGCCGTACAAGCGTTTACTACACGTTTTTCAGCGATGTGCTCGAGTTCTCCCAACCGTTTTGACTACTCGGCGTGAAGTTGTCGTTTTTAATATTGCGTCGACTCGTGTTGTACGCGGTTCGAGTCGGTCGGTTACACTTGCATCTAGGATATCGTTCCGTTTAATTAATGCGCGCGCAGCTATCTCTACGCGAGCCTATATATATATATATATATATATAATTATGTGCCCAATAATATTTTCGTGTACCTGCATACACACACACACACACAAACACACACACACATATAGATACATGTATACTTTTGGGAAAATAATATTAATATCGTAGATACTACGATGTGCTGCCGCCGAAGTGTCCGTCCGAACAGAGTGTCGCATGGGTCCCGGCCGCCTGTGCCGGCCCCGAGATCGTGTTAATTTTGGAAACGACGTTTCTCCGGGCGTATTACTTAGGTTGGCCTGTGCTTGCGAGTACGCACGACACTCGAGTCGTATGCATTTTTATAACACGTTTTTCGGTGTTGCTGCAGTGCTCGAGTTCCCGTCCGCGCGGGCTCTTCGACACACACGTCTCCCGCGGTGGGTCGAGTCGACGATTGGAGGGGGGGGGGGTGTGCACCATGCGGCGGCGGCGGTAAGTTT